CGGGTTAATTGCAGCATGTGAGGTCGGGAAATTGAGACAAAATCCAGCTCCATGTTTACCCAACATGTATGGGTACTCGGTGAAGGCCACGGCTTCACAGGCTGTCTTGCTTCACCTTCCCAACAACCTTATGAGCCAGGTGCTATCATCATTGCCTCGTTGTATGGACTTGGAAACGGAGGATCAGAGAGGTGAAGTAATTTGTTCCAAGTTGCAGAGCAAATAAATAGTAGAGCTGTGTTGTGGGCCTGGGGTCATCCAAACCAGTACCTACAGAAGCCCTGTCTGCTTCCCTGTTTCATCCTAAACTGGTGCCCCAATGTGGCTGTCTGAGTCAGGCTGGGCATGGCCATCACTCAGGGTGGACACCCTGGACCTATGTGTCATGAGAAAAGTTGGGCCATCAATCTCTAATGTAACAACTGAAACCATGAGACTGAAGAGAGAGCAGAGAGCAAGACCCAAGGATACAGCCTTGGGAAGTGTGAAAAGTGGGGGCCTGGAGGAGGAAGAGGAACCCGATCTTGATTCCGTATTTATTCCCCAGTCAAACTCGAGATGGTTAAACAGGCCGCCCGGACACTTGTGCAGTGGGAGGGGCGTGTGTCCTGACGGACAGGCAGTCCAAGAAGGTGGTGGGTTCCGCCCTTCCCGACAGGGCTATGGCTCTCCAGCTTGCCTCCTCTCTGGCTTCCAAGTTGGCCTTTGACGTTATCACCTTTCTCAGTCTCCTTGCCCATCCATCAGGCCTTTTCCAAGATTCCTGTGTATTCTGCATTGATTTATTGGCTGGCACTTCCATCTCGTTGGAATTGTCTCCAGGTTCAAAAAGGGGACCGCTCTCTCCTTTTCCTTTCTTTTTAGACATAATCCCATCCTTATCTGGGGACTCTCGCAGCTCCTATCACAGGAGCTGGCCTTTCAGACCAAGGAGGGTTTTGTCCTTCCTCTGCGCTTGGAATCCATGACCTTGGCCTTGTCAATCTGCCTGCTGTGTATAAAACTAACTCCGAGATTAATAACTCTGTGTTGTTGTTCCTTAGAATCAACTCCTCAGACGGCAGCCAATGAGGGTGCATCAGGCACAGAGCTTGATGAAGATTTGGAAACCATTGTGCTGGAGACAGAGAAGCTCTTCATCAATGTATGTAAACAGTTCCATGTGGAGATAAGTATCTGCTTCACCGCTGATAAAACAGGTCATCAGATGCAAACCTTCAAAATCCTCATCCCCCCTAAGCGTGGTCCTTCGACCAGCAGGCTTGACATCCCCTGGGAGCCAGTTAGAATACAGAATACCAGGCCCTGCGCAGGCCTACTGAGCTGCATCTGCATTTTAATAAGATCTCAGAAGCGCTGGCCCAAATAATTCCCCTTGAACTAGGTCTACAAAACTCTTGTTATCCCCCAAAGAAGCTCCATTGCTGAGCAATTCTGTCCAGCTAGCCTTATACATAATGGTTGAGAAAATTATATTTTATCATCAGAGCCTCCAATCTTGTATGGACAGCTGCCCAGTAAGCCATTGCTGCCATCTTCCTGGCCTGTCGCTGCTCCAGCTGCCCGATGTGACTGCCCAGCTGAGCGAGGGGGCTGCCTGACCTTATGGTTAATCAACCACAGCCTCATGAACCCGCTCCTTCCTGACACGCTTCCCGTTTTGGTAACAGTCTTAAATGCTTGGATCCAAGGAATGAGCACCGTGAGAAATGAGAAATGCACACCTTGTATCACTGCCGCCTCCAGGAGTTGGAGCTTGGTGGGGCAAGGAGTGGGGAGGTGTTTTCTTGCACCTTTGGCCTCCTGGGCAGCTGGTGCCCACTCTGCCCACCTGGAAGGATGGCCCTGCTTCTCTGCCCACGAGGGAGTTCCTTCAGTTTAAACCTGTGGGCACAACTTTGCCCCCTGCCCACTTCCTTAATTTCTAAACGGTGCTTCATTTCTAACTTCACAATTTAAGACTTAAACTGAGCATGGTCAATTTCCAGAGTGCCTTTCTAGTTTTCTGGGCCTGCGTACTAAGAAACAGAACTGGGCAATTAATCTCTAACGTTTGAGGACCAACTGTATACAGGACAACTAATAGCTAACACTTAGTGCTCTCACTCTTTGCCTGGCGCTGTTCTAAGCACATCTTGTATTGACTGATTCAACCTTCCAGTAAGTCTGAGAGGTAGGTACTATTCTCACTCCCATTTTACAGATGAGGAAATTGAGAAACAGTTAGGTTAAGCAACTTGCCCAAGGCTGCACAGCTAGGTGTTGGATGGAGCAAGAATATCAACCTAGGCAGTCTGGCTCCAGAGTTCATGCATCTAACCACACACTGTGTTGCCGGCCTCCATGCTGGACCAGTTGCTAGACATAAAGATACCAAAAAAAAAACCACCCCACAACACAAGAGCCGGCCGAGTGGCTCAGTTGGTTAAGAGTTCATTCAAGAGTGTGAGCTCTGAGCAACAGGGTCATCGGTTTGATTCATGGCCCGAGCTGAGCTGCCAACAGNGTGACCAGCCCCAAATGAATCACTGTGACTCTGAGAGCCATGGGGTAGTTATCAGAGAGGAGGTTCCTCAAAGAAAGGTGGCAGTGGCGTCACTAGAGGAAGAAGGTGTGGATATTAGGCAGGTAGGCAAAAAGCACGGTGACCCCTGTGTCTCTTATCTGCATGGAGGAGCTTAATCGACACCCCCTTCCTTCTCACTAGGTTTCGATCGCATCGAGAACTTGGAAGAGTACACAGGCCTGCGTTGTCTCTGGCTGGAGTGCAATGGAATTCAGAAAATCGAGAACCTGGAGGCCCAAACCGAGTTGCGTTGCCTCTTCTTGCAAGTGAACTTGCTTCGTAAAATCGAGAACCTAGAACCTCTGCAGAAACTGGATGCTCTGAACCTCAGCAACAATTACATCAAGACCATTGAAAACCTCTGTGAGCATGCCCTCTGCGAGCAGTGCCATTATGGCGACCACTTTCCCCTGGGGGAGGTTCTCAAATTTTATATGATGACGGGCAAGAAACATTTTGATACCTTTGTTGCTTACTTCTGCTGACTTCGCCTTTCAGCCTGTCTGCCAGTCCTGAACACGCTCCAGATAGCCCACAATCACTTAGAGACGGTGGAAGACATTCAGCATCTAAAGGAGTGTTTGAAACTTTGCGTCCTTGACCTTTCCCACAATAAGCTGAGGGACCCCGAGATCGTGAGCGTTCTGGAGAGCATGCCCGATTTGGTAAAACACACCCCCAAAATTTGCGTTTTTAAAATGTTCTTTAGATAGTGAATCTCTCTTCTTTCCTCTGCTTCATTCCTCTCTCCCAACCTCCCTCCCTCCTTCCCTCCTTTCTTCCTGCCTTCTTTCCTCCTTTCACACTCTTTTCCTCTTTGTATTTTTAGCTGGAGTGTATTAAATGCCAGATGCCATATCATTTCATCCACAAATACTTCAGTGTGTACCTCTGACAGATAAGGACCCCTTTTTAGCAAAATAAAAATACTGTCATCCTAACTAAAAGGCTATAACTACATCTAATGTACAGACCATACTCAGTTTTTTGCATTTGTCTCAAATATGTGTTTTGACCATTGGGTTGTTCAAATCCAAACCAGACCCACATATGGTATTTGGATTATCTGTGTCTCAGATCTCTTGGTCTCTCACAGTTCCCCTTCCCTGTCCACCCCATTAATCTGTTGAAGACACTGGGTCCTTTCTCTGGTAATGTGCCCCATTCTGGAGTTGGTTGATTTCATCCTCATGGTGTGCTGCACCACAATATTCCTTGTAAAATGATAATGGAGCCAGACGCTTTATCAGATCCAGGTTCAATCTTTAACTTTGGGGCGTGGTGTTGCATCACATCACATCACAAGGCCTGTAATATCTGGTAGCCTCTCTTCTCGTAACTTTAAAATTGATTAGCGGGCTCAGGTGTTGTCAGCCTGATCCAGCCATTATAGCGTCCCCCAATCGATCTTCCTCCCAATTGCTTTAGCAGCCATTGGGAAGCACTGCCGAGATGCAATATTTCATTAGGGCACATGATGATTTGCTAATTCTCTTATTCTTTCTG